ACACACACACACACACACACACACACACACACACACACACACACACACTACCCTCTTTGCTTAAGCTATTCTCTGCTTGGCACACCACTCCAGATCTTCTCTGCCTGGCTCCTTATTAACCCTCCAAGTTGACACTGACATCGCTTCCTCCAGGCAGATCCTGGCTGGGCCAGATGCCCTGCCCCAATGTCTGCCACCCACAGTCTAGCCTATCAGAGCCTGTATTGCACACCCTCTTTGGTACTCCTCTGTTTATTCCTCTGTTTAACCTGTTTAGCTGGAAAATCCAGTGAAGACAGGAACCAATCTCCGTCTCCAGCAAAATCTGTTTCACAGATTTTGTGAAACAAAGTAGATATCAAATAAATGTTTACATCACATGTGTGCCAGAAACAAACCATAACTGAACTCTTAGGATGAAGAATTTACATATTTTCTTGCATGTATTTTATAGCAAATACCTGTGATATGTAGAACAATGCTATATATCTCTTTTGTAAGTATGTGCATCGCTGTGCACCTGTAGTTAAGTACATATGCATGTATGTATACACACACATACTTTTCTGTATTTATAGAGGTACATTTAGTAGGCAAGCAAGTTAACCTACCTACATTCGAGTTATCTACACCTGTGGTGAAGCTTTTACTTTGGGGTCTAATGATCATAACCTGTGTGCTGCTACCTGATGTCAGTGATCTATAGTGCAGGTGACACAATGGAGAGGAAACAGTGCTTTTTCAAAGAGCTCACGGGAAACCCTGACCCTGAAGAGAGATTGCCATGTCATGAGGGTCAAATGACATATTTTTCAAGTTCCTCGTTCCAAATCCAGTGCCACTACTCTGGTCCATCACACCCTCACCTCTTGCTTGGACTAATGCAGCCATCTCCATACTAGTCTACATGCTCATTCTGGCCCTCTTCCTACCTAGTGTCTACACATGACCAGAGTGGCCTCTTTATTTTAAAAAATGAGAATCGCATTCAAGCCACTCCTCCTTGACTTAGACCACATCAATGACTCCTCATTTACAGGTCAGCATCCAAATCCCTCAACACGATATTAAAGCCCTATGAGCTGCCTTCCTTCCCAGCCTTATCTCCCTTATCTCCAGACTTCATGATCACTGTCCCAGCCTCTCTGCTATTCTATCCTCAGTTCTCTGAACATGCCATGCTCTCTTCTCACCTCTAGGCCTTCACATGAGCTGCTCCTTGCCACCAAAATCAAATTTCTTCCCTCACTCCCAGTCTGTTTCACCTGTTTCTTTTCTTTTCTCACCTCTACCTTCATCTAGCTTTCCTTGTAAATCTCCTACCACCAAGTGTTGTCAGGAGTACCCTCATCTTCTGAGCCTCCATAGTCCCTTGTATTTCCCTTCTTACAACACTTTGTCACATGACATGTAGTGTCTTATTTACTGTCTGCACTTGGGCTCCATGAGGGTAGAGAACTTGTCTGTTCTGGCCTTCACTGGATCCTCAACACACAGAATAGTGTCTGGCACATGGCTGGTTGTGGAGAAATGTTTATTGAATTAATTAGGTTACCAAAGGAGCAAGAGCAGAGGCAACCCAGGGTATAAGCTCAAAGACAAGCCCCACCACCCGTCAGGAAACCCATTCCCCTACATCTCACCGCATCAATCTCATTCAGGGCCTTCCACTGCTCATAGGGGACACCCAAGGCCTCGGCTGTCTGGATAGTCCTCTTCATGTGGCTGGTCCACACTTTCAGGGAGCTGATGCCCTGGGACTGAATGAAGTTGGCCAGGGCATAAGCATACTGAAAATTGGGGAGTACAGGTGAAGAGAGGAGGGGAGAAAGAGAGAGATGAAAGAAGACAAGGTAGCCATGAGAATAAGGTCAGATCTGTCACAAATGGTAAAATGATGATGAACAAACAAGAATATAATTTAAATGTTTCCAATTTATAAAAAGTCATATTCTTTCTCATGTGACTAAGGATCAAGGGAATATAGTATGTGTGTTTGTGTGTGTATATGTGCATGTTTCTTCACTGAAGCTTGCTCACTGAACCCCCTACACAGTTACTCATTCACTCAAACAGTCCACCTCTAACATTTGTGGCGACTGGGACAAGAGTACCTATGGAGGCACTCGGCCCACACTCCACCTCCCTTCTCTTCATGCTTCCATCCTTCACTCATAGATGGCTTGAGGGGATAAGCCAGTCACATGACCAAGTTCTGTCCACTTCGTATCTTCACAGATGCCCCTGATCCACAAAGAGTGACCCTCTGGCCACCTCTTCACCTAGGGGTGAACATTCCTGTGATGTGGCCTGTTCTTAGGTGGACAGACTCTGGGATAGGGCCACACAGGCACTGGAAACAGACGCTAGACCACAACGGCAGGGATTTCTAGGGTTCTGGGTACTCAGAATATGGTCTAGATGTGGAGTGGTGGGATTTGGGGAATATTTCTTTGACTCTGAATTCTCATTGCTTTAGTAGTGGTGCTGGTACCCAGGTTCTAAGGGGATTCAAACATGTACCAAGTGCATGTGGACCTGTACTGAGTACCAGGGTGTCCTGTTCTCAAGACACAGCCAGTCCAGTGAGGGAAACAATGACAGCACCGAGAGAAACCATGAAGGGCTGTGGGAGCCCAGATGAGCAAGTGATTCACTGTCCTTCAGTGTATAGGCATGTTATTAGTCACGCATGATGTGTGAGGAACACCCGCACAAGTGCACAGATACAGGCACACATTGATATGTACAAATAAGGGCACTGTGTACACACATTCTAGTTATGGCTTCTGAGTCAGCAGCAGTCAGTGTGCTCTGGTGGAAGGAGCCCTGGACTGGGAGGTAGGTGATGGGGGTTAGACTGCTCCAGCTTCCTCACACAGTCTCCATGTGCCTGGGGACATGTCCCTGCCCCTCTCTGGCCTGGGATCTCCTGCCTGTAAGATGTGAACAGCATTAGCTCACCCAGCCTGGTCTCTGCCAGTGCAGATTAGATAATGGATGGGGAGCACCCAGAGCACTCCCTCGCACACAGTAGGTGAGAGCTACTGTAATTGACGTGAGTGACAGTGGATGGGAAAGTGCAGGGTGCTCTGTGCCCATGACTGTGAAGGTTGAGGCCAGGCAGGGGCGTGTCCATGCTCACATTTGTGTGGAGGGAAGCATGCGTGTGGAGATGACCACGTGTCCAAACTGGGTGCTGAGCTATGAGGGCAAGGCCGAGGCCAGCCCAACCAAAGAGACCTCTGGCTGCAGGTGGTGCCTGGAGGTGGAAGTGATGCCTCCGGTGGCCTCTGACTCCTCTCTGAAGAGTGAGAGAGGTGGGAGCCAGAGGTCAGAGTCCACCTTGAGAGGAGGTTGCCAGTGTGAAGGCAACAGAAAGGGAGCCATGAGGACGTGCCTTCTGGTGAGGTGACTTGCCTGTGACATTGCCACCACCACAGTGGGGATGCTAAGGGGCAGGCAGGAAGGCCTGGTTTTCAGTCCTGGCTCCTGCTGTGTGTGTGTGACCTGGGACCACTCTCTGCTCCTGTGTGGGCTTCAGCTTTGTCATCCCTAGACTGGTGACAGTAATGCCCACCCCACAGAGCTGCTGTGAAGATTAAATGAGGCCACAGGCATGGAAGCAGATGGTGTCATGGCTGTGCAGTGTCCAATGAAAGAGGGTGCTCTTTCCTTCTTGCACCCCACTTCCCACTTTCCCATCCCCAAGAGATTCCCCCCAGCAAGCTGTGCTAACAAACCCAGGCACAGGGCTGAACACTCAGGAAAATGTGTCCCTTTATTGAGCTGGCACCCAAAATGTGCAGGTCACTATGCTTGGCTGGATAGAAGGGACTTGTGCCATAGTCAGAGATGGGCTAGTAGTGGGATAGATGGAGGCCAGGGCATGGTGACCTGCCTGGGTGCTGGAGGGACAGGGGAGGGCTTCCTAGACCAGACCATGGAGCAGGAACTGGACCCTGGAAGGGGGTGTGGAAGGTAGGGCAGGAAAAAAGCACTAACTGGTGGGAAATAAGTGCTGATAGTGTGATGACTCGCAGTGGGGTGGAGGCGGTATAGCATCAGCCCTGAGTAAGGGAGAAGATGGATTCAAGGGTGGGGCACCTCAGGGTCCCTGTCTGTGCAAGTGATAGTCACCAGCTTACAGAGGAAGGCAGCATAGGTGGGGAAACTGCACAATTGAAGGCACAGAGTTGTGAAAAAGGTGAGAAGCCCAGTCAGGCAGGGGTCAAGAGTGCTCTTAATGCAGGGGCTGGAGAAGCAGCTAGATCTGGGCAGGCCTGGAGTGCCAGGTTCAAGCTCTCAGATTTGCAGCTCTTGTGGGCACATGATAGCCATTGGAAGATGGCTCAAGACCGAGTGGCTGACAGGGCAGAAGAGTGGGAGTGACCAAACCCTGCTTCTACCCTGTAACTGAGACCCTCAATCCTCAAAACCCAGGCAGTGGTCACTCTACCCCCCTGTGGCCCCCCTGGTCCAGCTCAACCAATGCCTCTGGGTACATGGGGCCCTCCCTACCTGCTTGCCCCGAGCTGAGAGGCCAGAGTCACCTCCGATGCGGCCTCTGAGATTGAGTTCACTCTCACCATGCCGGCATAGGTAGATGGAGCGGGGTGTGACGTGGATGTTCATAAGATAGTAAACTGTGCGGCTCTGGATGTGGTCCTGCACTCTGTTCACCATGTAGCGCGTGCCCACGTCGAAGATCTTAATGTAGGACAGGTGGCTGGGCCAATCCAAGCAAGAGCAAGTGCAATTCAGGGGCTGGTGGTGGAGAGGCTAATCCCAAGAGAAACCCCAACCACACACCCTGCCTTCAAGCCTCCTCCACAACCCAGTCTCATCTACCTTTCCTCTAACAAGATGCCATGCCTTGTCTTGTTCTAGGTGCCTGTTCTAGAGACTTGGTTCCTGGCCACCTTCAGAAGCTCCCTGCCTGCTACCATTTCTGTCTGTGTCCTTTTCTCAGTCTCAACTTGAGTCAGATTGTCTTTTCACCTTCACTTATCATACTGCAGGCATCTGGGGTTCTCCCTTCTGTGGTTCACACTCCTGACATACTTGGAGAAAAGCAGTAATCCTCTGTGTCCCTGGATACCTCCAACATCTCACTGGCAGCTCCAGACTGGTCCACTCCTTCACCCTTTCAAATCATGAGCTGAGCTCTGCCTCTCTGTTCTTTGAACTTCTGCTATGATATATTGTACTTGACACTATAGGCAGTTACCAGATTGTGTCTGTGTGTGCTTGTGCCTCTGTATGTCTCTTTCCTTACTCAAAAAGGGGAGGGAGTTGGGTCTTTTCCCTATCTGCCATGCAGTCAACAAACACACCCCTGTCTGTTCTAAGCATTGTGCTTGGGCCGAGGAGTCAGCATTTACTCTTTGGGGGCTCATAGGCCAGTTAGGAATATATACTTAGAAATGCATGATCAATGCTCATCACCCATTCCACAGTCACTAGTCACTTACTCTAAGGTGTGCCAAGTGCCGGGGTGTGGAAATACAGAGGTGGTTCAGAACATCAATGGGGAACTTGTGGCCCTTGCTTAAAGCCCCCTTTTAATCCCCTCAATTCTATGCTTTGTTATAAACTAATAACTATAAACAGAATGATAATCAAATTACTCAATAACCTCTTTGCAGAGGAACTCGAAATGGGGGACTTTGACTAACCAAAAGACTAGAACCATGGAGCAAGACTTCTGAGGCACCTGCTGTGCCAGGCATTAATTCCTACGTTGTTTTATTATAAGGAGTTCAGGGTGATCCTGGAAAGAGGTGGGGGAGGCTGGGGCAATGGGGTGACACACCAGCAACCCTGTGTGCACAGTAAAACCAAGTGAATGGAATTAACTGCACTAACCCAAGGCAGGTAAGGTAGTGACTGATGAGTTGGGTTTCAGAAAGCCTCTCTGATATTCCTAAAGAAAGCCTTTCTATCTGCACCATGCTCATCATGCCCATCCCTGTCACTCATGTCCAACGGTTCCCATAGGACATTCATTTTTGTTGAACATGTTGGGGGCTTCTGGCAGGGAATGTAGACTTCAAAGTGCATGAATCCTCATAACAATCCCAGGAAGCAGAGATTATTATCTCTGTTTTATGGGTGAGGAAACTGAAACAGAGAGAGGAAGTGATTTGCCTAAGGTCAATTTCTCCAAGGACTCTCAGAGCTTAGGGGTAGAAAATATATGACACAGCACTATTGTCTGCTTACTGTCTGTTCCTGACACTGGATTCTTGGTGGCTCTAAGAGAATTTCCAAATTCCTCAGCTTAATCTGACATTCTAGGTGCCTTCACACACTGGTCCCACTTGGCCTCGCCTTACTGTCCCATGCCTGTGCTCAACCTCTCTGTTTCACTCTAGCCTTCACGCCATTGCTGGAATATTCTCCGTACTCTTCTACTCTTATTCAAATTTAACTAGGCCATTACAAAGTGCTGTTCTCCTTGCTTGAAAATGTGTTCATTGCCTGGTCTCCAAAGTTGAGCTCCTATGCATCCATCCTTCAAGAGCTAGTACATTCACTCTCTCTAGGAAGACCTCTTTGAGCCCAGGATCATGTGAACTCATTTGGAGGTGCTTCACACTGAAAGTATTATAGTAGCTAATACCCATCCCCACCATGTATAATTTAAAATAAAAATTATAAACTATATTACAGTATAAGGAGGTCCTACCAAGTTCTGGTTTTATTTTTTCTATTTTGACTACCTTGATGCTGGAAATATAAAATATTAAAAGATTTCAAGATTTATTTCTTCTTTTTTTGGTAGCCTCTGCCTTGCTGGTGCCCTAAACACATGTATAGTCTATCTACTGGGTAAATCTGCTCTTCTAGACCTCTTCCTCCAAGCTGGGCTGGGTCTCCTTCTCTGGGTTCCTCCAGTCCACTTGTTTTACCATCCTCACTACTCTGATCAACTGCATACTCATTGTCTTCCCCAACCAAATGGTCATTCTATCAGAGCAGGGACAGACCTTCCCTCTTTGGGTCCCTAGGGCACAGCTTAGGGCTGGGCCCTGAGGCATGGACTATAAATGTCTGTTCATGGAAAAATGATTAAATAAAGCCAACCTTCATGCCCAAACTGATTCATCAAATACTAACCAAGCACCTGCAGGAGTATAAATTGAAGGCTAAGGGCTTTCTCGGTGCCATTCTTTCACTTCAGCTCCTCCCCTTCAAATTTCTTTCACTGTATGCTGCTAGCCCCTATGCTGCCTTTGTGGAAATTTGAAAAGTTACACTTTCCTCAGGGCAAAAACAGCCCCACTCTAGCACACATGTTGGTGAGAAAAGCAAGGATACCCTTGACTTAAATGTCCTTGCACAGTGAACAATCTTCACAATTGTACATAAGGTCCTGCCCCTTGTACTGAGTATCTAAGCTTCATGTGACACTTTTTATGACCTAGGGATGTGAGAAGGGAAGAACCAGGCTGGAAGTTTGAAGATAAGGGTTTGAGTATATATTCTGCTGCTGGTTAAATATGTGGCATTGGGTTAGCCCTTGCCCTGCTCTGGGTCTCTGTTTCCCTATCTGAGGAGTGAGGCAGTAACAACGCTCACCTCTTAGGACTTTGGTTAGACAAAACTGAAAGGATGTTCTTTAAACTTCTTAGGGTAGTATTCACTGTTTGAAATCTCCTTACCCTTCTCACTTGGGTTTCAAAGAGTCTCAGTGACTCTGAGAGTCTCTTCTCATCACAACTCATTTTGCCAAAAGGTTGGACTCTGGGAACACCCTATATCTAAAATTTACGAGTTCCCTGTACTGCCAGCTAACACCTCTATCTTTATCTAGTATTATGAATAAAAGTTTCAAAATTTTCATGTATCTTCCCATACTTCAAGGCACTATGGAAGCTACCTGAGGATAGAATTCACCTCTCTTGACCTTATTTACACTCCCTATGTACACCACAGCCCAGAGGGACCAAATACTTATTCATTGATGAGGTATACGTGGGCATTGTAAGAAGAGACATGGCTAGGAGATAGAATATGTGGTTAGAATCCTAGCTCTACCATTGACTTACGGTGGGAGCTTGGGCAAGTGGTTTCAGCTCTCTAAGACTCAATTTCTTCTTCTTGAAAATTTATGGTGTAAGACCTATTTCATTCTCCTTTACAGGGGTGCTGAGGGGATTCAATGAAACAAAGAAGGTGAACATGTTTGGAAACTGAAATACCATCCATGGGTAAAGAACACATTTAAAAAGTAATAGCAACAAAGACAGGAGGGAGGCTTTCTGCTCCCCCCGCCAAGAGAGCAGGTCCCTGATCTGTCCATATTGCTCAGGAAAGCACTACTTCAATCCTCTTGTAAACACCTTACACATAAATTAATAATTAGAGATAGGAGGGCCCTTGAAAACAAATCAAGTCCAGCTTCCTAATGTTACAGATAGAGAAGTTGAGGCCCAGAGTGGGAAGAAATTTCCCTAGGTCCTACAGGATATCAAACAGGCTAAGGATCCAGACCTGGACTTTGGGGTTCTTGGCTCTTACCTGTCCAGTTCGTCATCCAAGGGTTGGTAATTGAGCTCATAGCATTCAATTCTTTTTAGAAAGTCTTCCAGAACCTTTTCTCGGTCACAGTCTATGTAATCAGGGCTGCCGAGTTTCACTTGCTGGGAGAAGGGAGAAGGACAGAGGGACCGTGGGAGACAGAGACTCTGACAGTGCCCTTGGGAAGGGCCTTTAGAGATCACTGAGTACTACATCTCTCATAATAAAGATGGCAAAATTGAGACTTGAAGAAAGGGTCTTGCTCAAGTTTATGAAATGAGTCAGTTGAAGAAAATCTAGACTGTGTGATTCTTTATTACTTATATCTCTGTGTGGTCAAACAAGATATGTTACATTATATTCAATTCTAGAGCACACACTTTTAGAAGGTTTATAAGAGGACTGGAAATTGTAATGTGAGAAATGGTTGAAGAAGAGGAACAGGAGATCTTGGCCAGGGATTAATGGCTTGCATGTATCTAGTGTTTACTGGGAGAATATGGCATGTTGGCTTTAGATTTCTGAAGGGCTAGCATCTCCAATTCCCTTAATACCTACCTTCTCTGCCCATCTCAGTGATCACTATCATCCACTCAGTCATCTGAGCCTAAAAGGAATCTGGGAGGCATCCTAGATGTGTTCCCTTCTAAGATTCCCCACCTCTCAGCAGGCACCAAAATCCTCTCCATTTTATCTTCTAAATATCTCTTCAATTGGCCTTAATTTTCTCTTGTCTGAATGTTCATGATACATTTGTGACTTATCACTGTCTAAAATCTTGTTACTTTTGATGTATTCCCCATACTAGTAGCCAGAAGGGTATTTCTAACATGCACGTCTGACCATGGAATTCCCTTGCTTAAAACCTTTCACCATTTCCTCATATAATTTAGGACAAAGTATGAAATATTTTAGTGGCTTGCCCTGATTGGGTACCAAATGATTTTTTCATCTTCATCTCCCATTACTCCCCTATTCCTCCACACACTTTGCTTTAGCCAACCTAAGCTATTTACAGTTCCCTGGAGATGCCACACTTGGTATATGCTATTCACTTATTTCCCATTCTTTGCCTGCCAAACTCCTATGCATTCTTCAAGATTCAGGTCAGCTATTACCTTCATTGAGAAGCCTTCCTGATATACCCTTCCCCTCCCATGCAAAGTTAGATCCTCAGCACTGTGCTCCCACAGCCTCCTTTATTCCCTCCTCTTAGCATTGATCTCACAGAATCATGTCTCTTTCACTAGACTGTGAGCACAAGAGCAAGACTCTTCTCCACCCATTTCTGTCTCTAATACCCAGAATGGCTCAGCGCAAGTATATGGATTCATTTTCTGTTGAATCAATAAATGGGTGGGTAGATGGATAGATATAGAGGAAAAAGAGGGATTGGACATGTTCTGTGCCCTAGAGGCAAAAAGAGGACCAAATGAGTGGAAATTACAAGGAGGCGGATTTCAGCTTGATTGGGCTGCATTTGATGAAGGCAATGAACCTCTTGTCACTGGAGGTATGGAGAAAAAACCTAGACAAACATTTAGCTGAGATTCCAAGTATCTGATGGAGGGTTGAAGGAGATGACTTTTAAGGTCTCGTGTGTCCCTGAGCTCCAATAATTTGATGAAATAAGAAACAATAAGATGTGATAAGTGATCTAGTTCTAGACCACATGCCTAGAATCTAAGAGCAGTGATAGCTGTGATATGATTTGTGGGGCAGAATAAGGAGCTTTTAAGGCAGATAGCCAAGTCTGAGGTCTAGTCCCAGTTCTACCTCTTTCTGGCTGTATAAACCCCTGACAAGTCACTTCTCCTCTTGGAACCTCAGTTTCTCGTTTCCAACACTGAAGCAATTCCTGACATACAGGTTTGTTGTGAAAAAAAACAATGAAAGCTTGGAGACTAGTGCATATTAATAACTCTATATATGTTGGCTTCATTTAATTTCATAGGAAAATTGTAGGCCACAATTGTCAGAGAATGTTTCCTATATGAAGTGGGAGGAGAATATTGGGGGAAAATGCCTCCTTTAATCTTATAGAGCTATTTTTAGGCATGATCCAAGCCTAAGGCTAAGTAAGGAGGAAAGGTAGCTGGGGCTCCTTACCCTGATGTTCTCTGCAATGATGCCAGGGTCATTACAGATGGACTCAATAAAAAACACCTATAAGAGAAACAGAAGAGAGATTTCCAGCAGGGAATTGTTTGATAGGAGCTTGACCCCTTCTCAGTGGCTCTGAGTCATCCCTAGAGGCATGTATAACAACATAATTTCATACAGTGGTGCTTTTAGGATTTAGAGTTTTAGGAGGCAGATTGGCTCTAAATTGAATGGCTCCAGATTGTTGCTTTGCATTTTTACCGTCTTTTAAAAAGTGGGATCCTATAAGTAATGTCTACAAAATAAATTAGGTTCTTAGAAAGACATAATGCTCCAAGAGGGATAGACAGTCTTTTGTAAGTAGCATGCTAAGGTAGTGATGGGGATTTAGTTCACCTGATACCATTTCATCTGAATTCACTTCTTCTGATGCCAATTCATCTAATTAATTCACTTAAAATGGTCATTTTCTGGAGCAGCTCTGTTCTTTCTTTTATTGCATAGAAAATTTTTAAAAATTCCCCTTCACTGTTTACACCCATCTCCCCAACCCCTCTCCCCTCTGGCAATCAACAGTTTGTTCTCTGTATCTAGGGGTCTGTTTCTGTTTTACTTATTCATTTTTTTAGCTTCTACAAATAAGTGAAATCATATGGTATTCATCTTTTTTGTCTGACTTATTTCACTTAGTATAATACCCTCTAGGTTCATCCATGTTGTCACAAATGACAATATTTCATTCTTTTAATTGTTGAGTAATATTCTGCTGTGTATGTGTATATATGTATATACACATTCCTCTTGGAGCATCATGTCTTTCTAAGAACCCAGTTGCTCTCTATATACCATTGATGGACAACTAGGTTGCTTTCATATCTTGGTTATTATAAATAATGCTGCAATAAACATAAGGATGCATATATCTTTTTTAGTGTTTTTGTTTTCTTTGGATAAATAGACAGAAGTGACATTGCTAGGTCACATGGCAATTCTGTTTTCAATTTTTTGAGGAACCTCCATACTGTTTTTCATAGTGGCTGCACCAATTTACAGTCCCACCCACAATGCATGAAAGTTCACTTTTCTCCACATCCTCACCAACATTTGTTATTTGTTGGCTTTAAATTTTTTTAAATTGATATGAGGTGGGGAGAAAGAGAGAGAGAGAAACATTGGTGTGAGAGAGAAACATCGATCTGCTGCCTCCCTCACGTGCCCCCATCAGGTATCGAACCAGCAATCCAGGTATGTACCCTGACCAGAAATCGAACCCACCACCTTTTGGTGAACAGAACCACACTCCAGCCAACTGAGCCACACCAGCCAGGACTTCTTGGCTTTTTTATGATAGCCATTCTAATTGGTGTGAAATGATATTCATTATGGTTTTGATTTGCATTTCTCTGATGATTAGTGATGTTGAGCATCTTTTAACATGTCTATCTGTCATCTGCATGTCTCCTATGGAGAAATATATATTCAGGTCCACTACCCCCTTTTTTAATTGGATTATTTGTTTTCTTGATATTGAGTTGTATGGATTCCTTATATTTTGGATATTAACCCCTTATCAAATATATCACAACTGTCTTCTCCCATTCAGCAGGTTGTTTTTTATTCCCCTTTTGTTAATGGTTTCCTCTGCTGTGTCTACTGGTTTTTAGTTCTTATATATGCTTTTTGTAGTGGTTCTATCTCCTTTTT